GAATTGATATGACTGTAGAATAAACCCAGCTACGCCGCTAGCTCACGTATGTCATATGCAGCAACGTGGTCGTGCAAAATTGAAGCAAACGTCCTAAACTCGCACTAACTCCTCGCATCTGGCACGTTCTCACGAGCACCCTCGGCGATTTTATTTACAAGGTACTACATACCGCGAGTCATCACGCGCGCACGCACACCCGCACGCGCGCGCACGCGATGACGTCACAATGCATTCTATTAATAGCCGCGAACAGAGGAAAGCGCCAACAGGCAGTGACGAACGTTTTCGCACGAAATCGCTTCGCAAGCAACTACGACGAGTCGGTAACGCCAAACTGGAATGCGGATTCTAGAAAAGTTGTCAAATATTGTTTAAGGATACCTAACTGCCCCGAGCCCGAATTGTTTACGATAAAAAGCGATCAAAGCCAACTGCATCGTTTCAATTGCTTAGATTGTCACGATTGAATACTCTCCATAGTATTCAGTCACCGGCGAAGACATTTCTCATCAGTCTGTGCGGCGAAAGGCAGTAAATAGTCTCTTGCAAGATCTGTTGCTGTCAAGTGACCTGATCATGGTTCAGTCTTCACTTAGACTTAGACCATCAGTGATGGTGACCATGCACCACGAATATTAGATTCTTGCTACATCTGTTACATTATAACCTGGCAACCTACTGGCGCAGATGGGGTCGTTGTCGTATCAGGTACTACAGATATGTACCCGAGGTAGTTTTAGGTTGTTTAGTATTATGTTTATATTTTTATATAATTAGGAGGTAGTTTTAGGTTGTTTAGTATTATGTTTATATTTTTATATGAGGTATGTTTAGAGTTAGGGTTAGGGTTAGGGTTAAGGTTAGGGTTAGGGTTAGGGTTAGGGTTAGTGTTAGGGTTAGGGTATACTTCTGTAGTACAAGTCTGGTACACTTTGTGTATACATATATGTACCTCGGGTACATATCTGTAGTACCTGATACGACAACGACCCCCTGAGCCCTACTGGCATGTTGGCTTTGAAATAACCAATAACGCTGCCCCCATGAAAAGGATGTCTGTAAATCAGTGAGCTGACAGTAAGAGGAAACTTGCTCATCGCAGATTTAACTACGGAAATGCACTCTTTCTACGCTTCCTTCATCACTCTACAGTATGGATGTTGATGTTATCTGATAGCGTTGCAAAATATATACGCTATATGCTCTATCGCTACTATACGACAACGTGTACAGTATCAGATCAGCCAAATAGGGAGTTATTAGGAGTTATTAGTCCAAATAGGGAGTTATTAGTCCAAATAGGGAGTACAGTATCAGATCCAGCCAAATAGGAATCATAGCAACGCCAACCAAACCATACGCCGACTAAAAACGTTTCATATATTTACGTTTTTCGCCAGTACGATCACTAAAAGAACGGGTGGCATTCCTGTTAGCTTTGCAATCCGCTTTAATTTACCTCGGTTACGTCCAAAACTACGGCAGCTAGCTATTCACATAACTTTTCTCACTATTTTGCATCGCAGAGAAGGATAAAAAGCGTACGACAATGACAGCAGCTGGAAATATTATCCGGTTGTGCTAAGGCATCCCCTGTATATCATATGAAGGCTAAATTATAGTATGTTTAAAGAATACCAACGATGCAGTTGGGATTTTTGTGTTTCCATGCAGTGGCTAGTGTACGCTTTTTAAATGTCCGTATTTAGGTAATATTGCAAACAGGCCCACCAGTGACCACATATAACGCTCGGTGTGAGTGAATATGATACAGAGTACGTGTAGGCTGGGCCCATGATCCTACAGTATATGCCACCTAATAAATAAATATTTTTTGTCACTACTTACACAACTAGTTTGGTGAACCTAATTAATTCCAAAACATTTTTAACGTGAAGAATCGGCACCCTGTAAACAAAGCGCGTATACCTCTAGTTCCGATAAGTTGTCAATCCCATTTAAATAAAATTTGACAAAACATTTAATAAAAACACTGGCAGTATTATGCACTTTACAAAAAAAAAGTTAAATACAGTGTTTAGCAGGAATAGCACAGGAAATAGCAATGTAAAAAAATATTTGTATGGCTTTGTTCAAGTCATCTAGTAATTTTGAATGTGTAACATCCTCTTTTAACATTATTTCTATATTATTATATATATTCTCTTTCTATTCGCTCTCTCTCTCTCTCGTCTCCTCGTCTCCTTCTTCTCTCCTCTCTCTCTCTCTATATATAAGTAATAATATATATATATAAATATATAATATATATATATAAAGCGTGTGCGCGTGCGTGCGTTGCGTGCGTTTTGTATATATATATAGTATATATATATATAATATATATATACAGATTCAATGTTGTATAACTCGTCTGTAGTCGCAAAGTGCTCACATACACCTGATATCCAGCAATATAATATTATTTTTATATCGTTTTTTTACCAATGTTGCTATATATATAAATAAATTTAATATAAAACAATATAATACAACCATTGTAAATCTATAATATATATATATAGTATATATCAATATACTATATATATATATAATATATATATATAGCTATAGGTAACTATGTTGAGTGGTCAGTCTCACGAAAAATCCGGTTTCAACAAGCAAAACCGATAACCTTCATGCTTATCAGACAGACAGAGGACGGGTTCATTAAAAAAATTGTCTAACACGAGACATACCAGTTTGTAGATATACTTGAAATTCATATATCACAAGGAGCAAGGCAAAAAACGTTATAGAATAAAATAGATTAATTTATGACGTTCTATGAATAATGTACTAAATAACACAATGTGGTCATCTTAGAACTGTTTTAACTAAAATAAATTTCAAGTTTAGATTTAAAACATTAAATGTTTATTTTCTCAATCTATGATATTTTTTAAATCGAACAGTTTATTTTTAACAAGGTACTATACTTGTATGATTATTAAAACAATTTAATCCAATATGTAATTTTTAATTAGTTAGTGCATATTCTGCAAGCATATTTAATTTTTAGCATAAGCAAAATTAATTTTTTGCCATATACTGTTAGTTAGTTAACACCAATAAAAATATATTAAAAATGTTGATTATTAGTATTCATGATATTGCGCGTATAAAATATTTTTTTGAAAAATCCCCTGCATTTTATAGTTTCTCTTGTTGATGGGTTCATATAGAAATGTCCAAGCAAGCTTAGCTTAATTTTCTTATAGCATACAAAAGTATTGAAATAATACAAAGATATCATGTGAACCTATTTGAATAAATCTAATGCTACGATGTTCCCTGAAATAGGACTGTATAGGTCGCACGAGGTGAGCCTTATTAAATACGACAAAAAACAACAGAGACATCAAATCAAGGTATCTACTAAAATTATGTTCCAAAACGAATCCTTCCTAGGAACATATCACGGCTGTAGTTTGACTAAAAAAATTGTAGTTATGTTCAAAGCATATGCTATTTTATTTTGGTTGCCATGGCAAAGCAGGCGGAGTGCGGCTGGAAATTTGTAGCACGCCTGCCTGCCTATTTTGCGTTGAAAACTGTAATAAATTTCCCAACTGACCAAATGCCAAACTTCTTTCACTACTACTTTTAATTATGGAATGCTAATCTGATATAAATCATCCAAAGTCTACTAGGATTGTCTAAGCAAAGAACAATCAAGAAAAATTAACGGCGAATGCCGAAGCCAGTTTCGGACACCATTTTTTATCCTCTTTCAGAAAATTTGGACCTTCGATTCTTTTACTATTCTTTCTCTGCACGTAATAAAGGCCACGACACTAATTCTCATGTAAATTCAAAATTTGAAAGCCCCCAAACGTGATCTGTAGATTTTTTCCCCATCGACTTTCAGCAGAATACAGGGTGCACTTGACCGCCACACCCGCGCGAAACGATACTGGCTTCCCAAAAGCTCGGTATATCCTGGAGTGGCAGATAATCCTAAACCGCCCTTGTTTTCGAATATCACAATCAAGTGTTTTATATTTCCAAAAGCGATGAGGAGATTTTGTTTGTGTTTACATCGCTCTACAGCGGAAATTGAAGAAATTTGGATATTTCGACGCGGCGGCCGATGGCGCCCCGCAGCCCGCTTTCCACACTATGCCAACCTACCTCCACCGATTCATTTTACGCCACTTTTTGAACATTTTTTAAATTTAAAAAAGGCTAACATCGCATCAGATATATTTCCAAAAGCTGACCCCACAGCTAGAACACCTCCAGAATCTGAATGGCACTTACAGAAAAAGACCCATTCATCCTACCAAATTAAAAATATCGTATCCACCACGGCTGACGTTCGAAACGAATCCGAGATCATGGGAAAAATTTCGGAGTTAGATGTTTGCAACTCACGGAGCTTTTCGGCCCGCTACGTTTAATGAATACCGAAATGATTTGTAGCTTGCTTCCCATATACTGACCCTACGGCAGTCGTTGGATGCAGCTGCTGGTATGAGTGCATGCCAGTCCTCTGCTTTATACTTCGTGTATTCGTTATTTTGCGTGCCTATTTCGACTTTCATTATTTTTCGCCCGTTGTACGTCGACGCCAGCGACAGCGTATAGGACCGCCACAGCGGGCCGTTGCAAACCCAGGGAAGCCTGCGCGCTGCCCATAAACGAGACGCTTGACAACTGAGTCACAATCAAGCCAAAACAGTTGGTCGTCGTCAGCCAGTGGCAGAGGAGCTGTTTTCCCCCGCCACTCCAACGGACAGTTTGTGAGAGGTAGAGTACGTGCTGACCAGAGCTCGCCAGAGAACGTCGCCGTTTCAATTGTCACTTGTGCCGTGGCGAGCAGCGATCGGCCGCATCGCCTAAGCATGTGGCCGTAGCACCCGTGACTCTGAGGAAAAACGTGCATTTTTATCGCGGCCGAGAATACAGCTGAGGTGAGCGAGATCAATATAATCGTTGTTTCCCTCTCTCTCTCTCTCTCTCTCTTACATCGTGATGAATTCATGCTAACTTACCGACTTTTCTTGAGTGGACATCCTCACCGTGTCCAGCACATTCATCAAACACGGGTCGTCACAAAATTTCTCGCCCCCACTTTCTTTCACACATCCAAACCTCGGCCTTCTTTCCTCAAATAGCACCAAAAATCGACTGCAGAAATCACAATGTCGAGATTATCACTCGCATCAACGTTCCAAAATCACGCTCCGCCGAAAACTAGCAAAGATTCATCGGCGAAAACGTCACAAAAATTATGACGGTGGGAGCATAAAAATGACGCACCGCCATAAAAATCCTCGGTAGGGAAAGTGGCAGCATAGCTATGCCAGTTAGACTAGTCCGCAATGATTCAAACACATGTTGCTAGAGTGACGTAACTCAGTACTCTCCACCATTGTGCGCGGATCATTCACTGCCCATCCGGCAGCACCCGCCACCCCTGTCTGGCTCACATAGTTTGATATCAGACATTATAAAATTTATATCAAACTGGTTTCAGGGATGGTGGGTGTATACTGTACGCACTACTGGCGTAGATTGAAAGTAGAAACGCACGTTTCACTGCTCATCTGGGCTGCCGAACGTACCCAAATCCTGTTTTATATCAATTCGATATTGTCTGATATCAAGCACTATAAAAAGCAGATGTGGTTGGCTGGCACATAATGTGTGTATGCGTGTGCGTGTGTATGCGTGTGCGTGTGTATGCGTGCGCGTGCAAATGTGTGCATGAGTCTGCGCGTGCGTGTATGGGTGAACACGTGTACATACACTCTGAGAGGGAGAGTGTGCGTGCATGCGTGCGTGCGTGTGTGCGTTCGTGCGTGCGTGTGCGTGGTGTGTGTGCGTGTGTGTGCGTGAGTGTGTGTGTTTGCATATACACGCATGGTGGTGCGTGCGAGCGTGCGTGCATGTGTGTGCGTTTGGGCACGTGTAAAAAACATGTAAAAACCCACCTAGTGAATTTGAAGGCAAAAAATGCCAGGCTTGTATTTGCCTATCGATTGAAACTGGCTGCACAAGTGTATTGAAAAAGCCGACTCCTTTGCGGGCCGTAAAAAGCCAGCGCGTAAACCAGATTTCTTAGTACATTGCCTGGCAGCCGGCGGCATATACAGACTTTGACGTAACTTTTCTATATTGTTTGACGACAGACTTAGAACTCGATTCAGGAAATCTTAAAAATTCACAGAAAGGTTGGAAATCGCCATTCTATACTATAGAAAACGCAATAAGGTCATCTGTATTTGTTAGCACTGCAGTTTTTTTGTACGCTTACAGTTATAAATGTGGACTATGATCAGCATACACTGCATACATGAGCAATGAGCTGCATATAGCTAGACGGTGAAAAAACCGAGACTGCGTTTTTATAAAGTGTAAAATTTAAATTCTAAGAGTATATGGCGTGCTGAGGCTACAGCTAGGCGCCATGTTGCATAATTATTTTAAATTTTAGAAATTGTTGCATAATGTGACGAAATTCTCACAAATACATCCGTATCTATTCAATTGGACGTGAACCGGGTTTAAAAATGTTTGTGCGAAGTGAAATTTGTTCAGAAACCTGTACCGGAGAGAAACAGTAGGCCCCTACATAGCTTATGAAATAGCACTATAATTTCTCTAACGCTGCTTGTTAGATCCAGCAAGCTTGTACACGAGAATTAATTATTTATTAAATAACACAAGCCTCGAGAATTATGCATACAACTTCGTCGGATATAATAACAAGTCCCGCCCAGATCTTATAGGTATGTTTATATATATATATCTTTATGAATAATGCTAAGAACTAAAAAAAATATAATAAAATTATAACGTAGAGATCTTGAAAAATAAAAATGACAAATCTTCACTGGATTTAATAATAGCAGCGGTAAAACTCGTGTGAAACACGGATTCTCTGCTTTCAAATATAGGGAGCCAGCAACAATATGAGTCGCAAATCGGCACGCTGTGGACGCTGGACTGAGAGGAATTATTGCGATTCTGCTGTACCATTACCGCATAACATTGTTTTAAATCACTGAACGCAGTATTACGCTCAATGTTTGTGGATATATTGTTATGTATAGCAGATTTTTTTGAGAGTCACACGGTTTCCTGCTGATGGAAAATCAGGACGCCGCGCAGTAAAACGCAGCATGCGAGCCACGACTCGCAGACTCAATTTCCACGTCTTGTTACAGTTTGTATGTGTTCGAGAGAGAGAGAGAGAGAGAGAGAGAGAGAGAGAGAGAGAGAGAGAGACAGAAAGAGAGCGAGAGAGAGAAGAGAGAGAGAGAGCGAGAGAGAGAGAGAGAGAGAGAGAGAGAGAGAGAGAGAGAGAGAGAGAGAAGCGATTATATATAAAATTGCGCTTGCATCGATTGCAGTAGTAAGATCCGAGAAACATAAATAAATGTGTAATAAATCCCATCTTGAAATTAATTACGCGTCTACTAAAATAATGAGAAACGTTAATTGCAACATTCAGAACGACCAAGTTGGACGTTATTTATTCTTTTTACGTAATTTAAATATGAGACGAGATCTAAGAATAGAGGGTGTCTTTTCTTCTGAGGAGGAATAAGTTAGTATATCATGACCTGACCAGCAAAGCATTAGCGTGAATCTGCGCTACTGTTGGCCTCGTCATCAAACACGTCACCAGCCTGGTGACTCCTACACTCGTGGTTGAAAAGTTAGAGGATGAGTAACGGATAATTACCAACAAGCGAACAACGGCGCAAAAGCCACGGTTCAATCACGAAGCTCAATAACTGGTTTACTTATAGTTGGACAACATTAAAACGCGTCAGTTCAAATTAGTTGACCAGCGCTAATTCCTAAGTGATAGTGATTCGCCATACTAGCTGCACGGTACAAGGACTCGCTGGCAGAGCCGCTGGCGT